TGCCCATCCCTCCCTGGTTTCTGGGTCTTGGCGTAAGGCAGCGGCCGGAACTGGGGATTTGCATCATGTGCCAGCCGTGAGCCGCCGGGGTTTGCGCCGTGTGGCCTGTGGACCTTGGCGATAAGATCCGCCTGGCTCTGCAGGCAAAGTACGCCGAGCTCTTTGCCTTTCTGCCAGGAAGGGTTTTACTGCCAGTACGGGTTTTTTGTACCATAAAACGAGAATGCAAGAGAAGCTGGGGTGCTCGCAGTTGAGTTAGCTCCTCACAACTGGCCATGCTGTAAATTTTAAAATGGTTTTTAAGAAATACTCTGCTATTTTCTAATGTTGCCTAACTTGGGGAGCTTGTCACCTGCAGTAGCTTTCTAAGTAGACCAAGGTCAGTGGTAGTCTTTCAGCTGATGTTCTGCTCACTTGCTTCTAAAATAGTATTTGGCTTAGACTGAAGCTTGTACTTGGATTAGAAATAAAGATCACTAAACGTGAAAGGTACATTATTTTGGAAACTGTAATGTTTCCATGGAGATAGGGATGTAAGAAATCGGAAAGATTTTAGAGCTGTAGACTCACGCTTTTCCAAAAGAAGAATTTTCAGCAGACGGCACAATAACACGAGGTCACTTTCTACTTTTGCCTTTATTTTACAGCAGGTCAAAGTTTTCCTGCTAGAGGTTGATAATGTAAAACATCCTAGGACAGGGCTCTTGCAAGAAGCTGTATTCCCAGCTGTTCAGCAGAAAGGGGGCTGTACCATTGGCAGACCTTGCTTGCAAGGTCTTCATATTGAAAGTAATGTAACTGCATTTCGTGTAGAGTGTAGTCATTGTGTAAACTACTGATTAGGCTATGTGTGTGTGTCTTAAAGGTGTGACTAGGAACATGGGAGGACTGCTTATCTCTTCTGGTCCATTTCTAGCCTATCTTAATAACCTCAGAATCTGCTGATTATGCACTAGGACAAAAATGGCTCAGCTTAGGTGGGTCCCTTTTTTCTCCAAACACGGAATCAGACTCCTGTTTTGAAACCTTGAAGTGGTGCTCTCCAAAGACTAGTATTGTACTGGTTTTGTGTATTAAGATTGCTGTGGTTTTGAAGCTGACCTTTTTAATATTATAAAAACATTATTAAGAAAACAAGAAAGGCTGTAAATGTGGTTGTGAATGTTAAATGTTAAAAAGTCATATGTACCAATATTAATCTCTGCATAAATCCACTGTAAGCTATTCCAAATGTTTGGCTCAGGAAATAGACGATGGAAAAGTAAATCTAAAGCTTCATGTGCATTCAGGCTGTCATAAAAGCTTACTGTTAGTAGAAGGGAGAGGTCTTGCCCTTGTACTTCCCTGGTCTTGACTGCACAGTCCCGTTCCCTACTTCGTGTTGTCCCTTGGCTTCTGACTGGATTTTTACTGAGATGATGTGGTTTTCTTTCACTTGAATGACTTTTTTGCCAGGGCATTTCTTAGCTGTTGTAGTGAGTTAAAGTCAGTGCACAAGTGCATTGTAGATGACACAGAGTGAGTTGGGGAGGGGGAGTGGGATCCCGTCCCTTGTTGGCAGTGGTGCACACAGATGGGTTTCCCATGGAACTGCACCTTCACCCTTAGTTTTCTTTTTGTGTTATCTTAGTTACATTCTTCTTTTCTACTTTCAGCGTAAAGAAGGTAACGACTTACATTTGTCTCTTCTGCAGGAAGAGGATGATTGGAAGGAGTTTGAGCAAAAGGAAGAAATTGATTATAGTGGTCTTAGAGTTCAGTCCATGCAAATAAGGTACTACTTTTTTTTTTGTTTTTCTTCAGTATAATTGTTACCTACGTCTAAAACGTATGTTCTTTCATCAGAGCTGCTTCCATGGAGTCCAATTAAACAGAGGTTTGATATGTTTCTGCTAATATAGAAGTTTGCTGTGGGGTGACTTATGTTTGACTGCTCTCTGCCGATTTTCTTTATTCTTCTCTTTCTAAATCTCTGTTGATAATCTAGATAGTCTAGGTCTATCTGTTTTGGTTAGGACATACATTTTCATTAGAAATGCTTAACACTCTCTCTATAAAGATAGTAACGCAGGAGTTTCTCTGAGAGGAGTGCAGGATAGTAATTCCCACTTAATCATTTGACTGCTGTAAGGGTATCTGACTCAATCTATTCGGCATGTCAGTTTGGGGAGTGAATTCCTGAACCGTTGCATTTTTATTTCAACAAAAATATAGTTGGTGAAACCAGTGTGCCATGACAAGATCTCACAGGACTGCATTTATGAGTCTCATTCAGGATTCTTTGTTTGCTTTTTTGTTAGATTGTTCCTGTACTCTGGTCCAAAGTAAGTCTACTTACATCTGTCCTGGTTAAGAAAAACATTTCCTCAGATTAGAAAAAGGATTCTTATGACCTCAGTCTTATACTGAGAACATTACATAATCCTCATTGTCCAGGTATTGATGATGTTCAGAATAATGCCATCACCTTACTTGTAACCAGTGCAGTAGATGCCGCCTTCACTGTTGGAGCAGGTCCTATGTATTCTTTATTCTTCCAACACCCTCACTCCCCCCCTTTCAGTTAACTAGTCCTTTTAGACCGTTTGCACATATTTGGTCCACAAGCTCTCCATACAGTTGAAGTGTCACAGCAGATAATCACTCGTCTGAATGGACAAGTAACAAGTGAGCTGCTGCTTCACTGACTACTAGTACTGTTTGATTGAAATGCGAGTACTTTGGTTTTCCGGACAAAGGCCCTCATTCTGGATGCTTTTGATGCTGTGGCAGATTTTCAGGCACGTGGAAGCTTCTGCCACTGGATTTTGTAACTGCTCAGTTAGTGGATTCAAGGGGAGAGTGGAGAAGTAAATGGAAGAAAATACACACTGGAGGTTATAGGTTATCCAGCTCTGGAGATCTCTTTGCTGAAAACAAGACACAGAGTATCTGGCAGGGGTGGTGATGGGATGTTAGGTGCGCTTACTCTGTTCTAGCTAGGCTGTAGGCATCTGCTTTTGAATGTAGTTTAGAATAGGATAGTGGTGTGCTTAGGCCCTTGGTCTGGCTTACTGTGATTGTTGCTGTATTTGGATGAACAGTGAAAGGCTGTTTAATTTTCAGAAATGATAGGTATTTTTAACCATTCTCTGATTATTACTTAAACAGAGAGCATATCTGATCATGATTAGTAGGACTTGGTGTATTATAAACTTCTTCTATATTCACACTTTGCTGCAGCTGTTCAGATCAGTCTCTTAAGTGGAGAATGAGGCAGTTAAAACTTATGTCCCGTTATACCACACAGCTTTCTGTATAGCTTTGTCCAGCAAATTATTTTGAGTCTCTGACTATTTCTATGCAAAATAAAACAGTCTAAATAAAGTACAGTCAGGCTTTTGCATAGGATTTATCTTTAAGAAATGGCATATTTTCCTCTGTATTTTTTGACTGTCTGCTTTAAAAAAAAAAAAAAAAGTTGGTTTGTGGATTATATTTGCGTGGGTAATATAAGAGTGTCTCTCAGGTAGCTGTGGTTACAGGGAAAGGGAGCTCAGGACTTGCTTTCTGTCACTGCTTTTCCACAATTTCTTCCTCTTGACTAAAGCATTTTATGGAAGCTGGATTTTGTAGCCCTTTTCCTGCTTTATCTTCTCATCATTTCCAAAACCATGACTGTCTTAGAAAGAGGTCTTTAAGCTCAAAATAAGAAATCAATTTATTTTATCATTTAGTACAGTTTGAATTTGTCTTTTTTTTTTAAGAACTTTTTTCCTTCTCAGTTGCCAAGTTACGTAGTGGCGTGCCAAAAATTTTTCAAATGGAAGTACCAAGTGGTTACAGGACTAATGTAGTCTCATTAAATCTAGTATCTTTGTACAGTACCCATGAAGTCTTTTCTATGGCGATTGTGTAATCCTGGCAACTCTTAAACCTCTGTTTGTAAAATGCTACATATGGTTTCTCTTTTACAGTGAAAAAGAAGATGATGAAAGTGAAAAAAGAGAAGAACCCGGGGACAACTGGGAGGAGACTGGTGGTGGTGTAGACAGATCATCTGGTCCTTGGAACAAGTCAGCTCCTGCACCAGCACCTGTTGTTGAACCAATTGGTAAATTTAACTCAGAGTTGTTGCTTTTTCCAATCGGAAGCATGTCAGGTGGAATTAAGCTGCTCAGAGGGTAGAGCTCAAGGAGCAGTTCCTATTCAGGCACCTTCTGACATACTAATGGCTTGTTTGACCTACCAGCAAAGGAGCAAATTTTCCTGTGAAGGGATCCGAGGAACTGAATTGATAGTACGGTGAGATACTTTAAATGAACACAGATGGAGGGGTTTTTATTTCTGACTTTGAAGGCTGGGGGAGAAGCATTCCATCTTTGAAGGAGATCCGTCACTTTGCAATCTGCAAAATACCTGTTGGCAGCATTTCTGTTGATCTAAAAAATACTGCTTTGACAATTAAGTGGAAGTTCAGCCAATAGCTGATGTCTAATATGGCAAATCTAAAGTAGGGTTCTGTGGTTAGTAGTACGCTTTCAAAGCTGCTCTAGGGTACAGAGAACATGATGTTGCAAAATTGCTTCTTTAGCTGGGACAGGACTTCAGTTTTGAGTAGATAGAATTTATTAGCATCAGCGGAGATAAACTACTTAGCCATGATCTGAGTTCAGACTATTCTGTTTCACTGAGAAATTCATTGAAAAGTGGCCTGCTGTGTTTTTTCTTGTTTGTACAGGCAAGGAGGTAAAGTTAATTAAGCAGTGTTATTTCATTGTAGATTGTTACCTTTAAATATGAACTATTTGGATACTCTTTTCTGCATCTGGAGAGGTGCTTTAAATAAAATTTGGCAAATACATAACTACGTGTTTAAATCTCTAGTTTTAAATGTAAGCTGCTAATAAATTGCAAATAAGAAACATGAAGTCCTCAGCAGTGGTTTTGATTCCCTGAACTTTGTGAGGCAATACACAGGAGCCATGTTTTGACTGCTAAGTATAGGTTAAATTAAGTGACACCTGATTTCCTGCCTCATCTAAAGTATTTGCTTCCAGAGCTTTAAATGGTGCAAAACCATACTTGTAAGATTCTTTTTCTAATTTGTGGGTTGGTTTTTTTAGATACGAATGCAGATTGATTCTCTTGTCTAAATATTGTTCTCATACCTAGTTACAGAAACCCCCGAACCAGTTCAGACTGGTGGTGTATACAGGCCGCCTGGTGCCAGGGAGGGCGGCAGGCCACGGAGAGCACAGCAAGGACCACCAGAAATCTATAGCGATACACAGTTTCCATCACTGCAGTCCACCGCCAAGCTTGTAGACAGTCGAAAGTAAGTACGTTCCTTCAGTTCCCTAAGAGACGTATTTTAACTGCCTTCTCCAAGTTCTTACTTTGTTTTAGGGCTTAAGCTTGAATCTTGCCACAGAGGAAGGAAATTATTCTGTTTGGCAAAGAGACACAGGAGAGGTCTTAACTGTATTTTCCAACGCTAGGAAGGGCTTCCCATGAAATAACTTCCATAGGACATAGCCCAGTGGGATAGCCAGACAAGACTGCCAGCTACCGTATCTTTGACTTGCTGAAGGATTTCCCTGAAGCAGAATATTTCTGCTCTTGACAGCAGCTGCTTCTCAGGATACTAGCCATGGCGAGGCTCTGGTGATTACCATCAGTAGGCATGAGTAGGATGTCTTGAGCATGCTGCCTTGTCATTAGAGACGTGACGGTAACTTGAATGGAGGAATAGGGTTTAATAAAAATACAAATCAATAAACTTGCTGCCTCAGCTGTGGTTTACAATGATGAGCCCCCACCAGTTTTGCTGAAGTGTTTGTGGTGCTGAAGACTTGGAGTTTCACCCTGCTTTTGAGTCCTATCTGTAACCTCATTCCCTAGAGACAGCTAGGCCAATACCTAATTCACTTGAGGGGTTTCTAGTTGTGGGTTTTTTTTTTTCCTGCTTGCTGTGTTACTGACTAATACAGCCTAGCAGACACTTTGTTTCTTCTGGGGTTTTTTTGTGTGGCTTTGTCTGCTTGGTAATTGAGACATGCTGTCATTGATGCTTTAGGGTTTGAACAATGCAAATTGAGCTAAGATGAAATTCTGAGTGAGCATTCTAGAAATGGAGTTCTACTTTCTAAAACTTTTTTTTTCATATATACACTTACGTTTGCTTTTGAGAATGTTAATGTTGAAATGTAGAATGTAGTCTGAATTGTACTGGGTGGTGAGCTTGATTCTGGAGAAAATGTTTTACAAGATTTGCTTGGGAATGTTTGGCTGTTCTGTTAAAACTCTAGACCTTAGTGTTCTGTGTTCATAATGTTTTTGTTGGGATGGGGTGGAAATCGACTAGAAATTCACAATTCATGAGCTAGTGATAAGATATTTACTGATTACATTTATTTTCCCTTAGGGATAAAGAAATGGAGAAGAGCTTTGAAGTAGTAAAACACAAAACTAGAGGTAGGGATGAGGTCTCAAAAAACCAGGCACTTAAACTTCAGCTAGACAACCAGTATGCTGTGCTTGGGGATCAGTAGAGCTGCATACACATTACAATTAAGGAATGCTTTTTTGGTAACCCTTCTACTAAGGTAACTAAACTACAGCTAACGGCTATGATGAACATGTCACCTTATTTCTGCTGGATCTACTGCAGCAAGTGCAGACTACTTTGACATAAGTGATTGGTTCTCCTGCACTATGGAAGCATAATATGTTACAACTTCTCCATTGGATATGGGGCAAATTAATGTAAATGATTGAACAAGAGTCATCAGTGTTCTGTAGTTGCTCAGAAAGATACCTACAGCCAGTGGTCATTTCAAAATCTTTTTATGTTCAGATACTGAGCCTTCGTAAAGGTTGACTACCTCAGACTTGCTGCACTCATTGTGGACACCATGTGGATCACAACTTCTGGAAGAGAAGGTTACAGCTGTTTTAGTGGCCATCTGAAACTTGAAACCAGCTCTACTGGATTCCTGTCAGAAATCCTGCAGAAGTCAGCCATTTGGTTCCAATTTGCTATAACAAAGATTTAAGTGACCTTAATGACAAATCGATTCTGTTCCCCTTCTGAGGAATCCTGTCATGTGTAGCCATAGCCTACTAGAGACTTCTGGAGCGTACCATACCACTCATCCTATCCAAGTATAACAGAGCTGTAGTTTGTTTACCTTTTTAGATAGCTGTACTGAAGTAACTGCAAAACAAATTAAAACTCATTCAGTATCAGATTTGAGGAATGATGGGGTTGAATGGTCTGTTTGCATTAGCCATTTTCACAGTTGTCTGTTTAAGCATTTTTTTTGTCTATTCTCCACAAAAAAATGCCTGCCTTGTTTCTGGTATCAAATCGCAGTATATTTAAATAATAACATGTTGTAGTGAAATAGGGTTTATTTTGTTTTTTGTCATGAGGTTTGTCTTTCTCACCCTAAAGCACTAAGACTTAAGAGTTTTGATTTGACACAGAGGTATCCAGACTCCAACTACAGTCTTCAGAATTTGTCTTTTGAAAATGAGATACGTGGCAGTAGCGATACCAGATAAAAATTTCTCCTCCATTAAAAAGTTATGTTTGCTGAAGGGCAACAGCTACTTGATAACCAAAATAACTTAGTATGCAGAGGGATCACTAAAATCAGTAAGCCTTATTTGTTTGGTTACTTCTGTGAAGCATGCAGGCTTTTTGAGGCAGAAATCCTCTAAGTAAAACTCAGAAATGGTGTTTATTCAAAGTCAGGAAGTTTAGTAACAATGGAAGGCAGTGACTTCTTTAAATTGTTGTCATCTCTGACTTAATTTAGTGGAAGCAGGCAAAATGGCAGTGATACACTAAGAATATAGGACATTGCCCGTAACTCTGATTTGATGAATGAAACCTGTCAAGTACCAAAAATGTCCTGCTGTTACTGTTTTTCTCTTCCCTGAAGTCTTACACCAGAAGCAAAATGAAGTACAATAGTGGTGTGCTCCAGTGTTGAGGTTTCTCAGAGTAAATGCCAAAAAATAGACCAAACATCTGTAAGAGTTGCCAATAGCAAGAAAAACAAGGGAACAAAACAAAACTTGCTTACGTGTGTGGGAGTACTGTGTATGTGCAGAAGATGAGGATAGTGCAGGAATTGCGGAGTTGGGTTCCCTTTGACTGACTGCTGACTTGCTTCAAATTGCTTCTCTGAGGCCAATGGGAGTTTTGCTGTTGACTTCAGTGGGGCTGTGGTGTCACCTGGTTCCTTTGTGCGCAGACTAAAACTGGCCTTGCCCCTGCAGAGTTAACTGTCTCTAAAACCTCTGCTAGAAGCTGCTGTTAAAGAGACGGCTCAAGAGACTATGCGTAAAGGTGGAGACTTCCATTGGAAACAGCCCCACTGAAAGACCGATAACAGTACCTTGGACTCTGAGCCATGTATCCTCCTTGAAAATACATTGTTGCCAGCAGAACTGTTGGTTTGTCACTAAAAATTTCTGTGGAGTTCGTGGTAAATGGGCACGTCACTTGGTGTGGTAGAAACATGAAATCTTGAAACGCTTTTTCTGATACTCTAAAGCGATTGAGATCACCGATGCACATGAATCAAGTTTTAGTCTGCTGTATGAAGGGTAGATGGGACTGTCCATTGTACCGTCTTTATTTGAGGTTTGGGCATGAATTCTGGCAGTTCAAGAAAACCCTGTAACAGTTTCAAATCTAATAAAATGGAAATATATGTGGATTCTGGAGTCTAATGAATCTTTACCTTTAGTTCTAGCTTATGACTGTACAATAGCTGAGAAAATGCAGAGCAATTTGGGTGTCTTAAGGGACAGGTCATGGAATGGGTAGTCAGCCTTATGGTCAGGTGGGCTGTGCTTAAGAGCTTATAGCAGTGCATATTAATAAGACTTTTATTTATACATAGAAGTTCAGTTTGCTGCCTGTCAGAGTGTCTTCTTACTCCCACCATATAGGACTGGTTTGAGGTTGTGAATTGAGTATGAATGAAGCTTTGATTTGCTTTTCACTTGAAAGTAGCTCTGCTAAGTTAAAGCATGGGGAAAAAAAACCCAGACCTCTGGATGGGTGTTGTCACCAGAGTCCATCAGCTACTGCTAACTAGAGGTGTTACTCTGGGGGCTTTTCTTAAGCGTATCATTCCAGGTTCTTTCTGGAGGCATAAAGGAAAAAAAATCAGAAATGCAGCAGATTTCCATAGTACAGAATGTTAAACTGTTTTAAAGTGGTTTTTGTGTTAAATACCGCTGCCAGCAACTATCAAAATGCCAGTTGTATCTTCCTTGTAACTATTAATTGTTCTGCATGCCTGATATTTTGAAAGTCAGTCCTCTGTGGAAGCTCAGTATGCTTTTGAGACTCTGAAGTCCAACTTTGTCTGGTTTGTTGTTGCATTCATTCAAGGCATGCTAAGAATGTCCATTTCATTCCTTCAGTATGCTTGTTGGAGGCTCATTCCATAAATGAAGGATTGTCAGTTGTGGAAACGAGGTTCTTGATACCAGTCAGTAAAATGCAGTTGTGTGCCACTTCAGGAACTTCCTAACCTGTAACATGCTCTTACGGTGTGTTCGTTTTTCATTTCCAATTTAAAGGTTCCATTTTACTTTCTCTGGATTAAAATAAAAACAGCCATAAAGTTACCAACTTGCTCGTAGAACATTGAAATGTCCGGTACTTATTGGGAAAGGAGCAATTTGGATTTGTGGTTCTTGGTGATACAGTCTGTATTTAAGGAGTGTTAAAATGCCAAAAAGTAGATAACTTTAATAAAGTTGGACTTCCCAAATGCCTGCTGTAGGAATCTGGAATGTGTATTTACTTGAGCTGATGACTAATGTAGGAGAGAATTTGTTTTGCCCCACTGCCCACCCCACCCCCCCACCACCCCAGTTTAGCTGTGCCATGTTTAATCTTATGCACAAATGAAGAGGAATTGACAACTAAAAGCGACTGTCTCCTGCTACTTCAGTTTTGTCTTTGTAGCTAGCTTTACCAGTCATGTCCAAAGTAGCTCTTAAAAAACTTAGGCATAGATGAATTTTTAATGGTACAAATTGTGTTAGAGACCTGATGCCATAGGGACTAGGGGTTTTGGTACTTGACTGCATCTGGCTCTTGGAAATTCTTTCTGACCGCAACATGGCTGAGACACCTGCGCTGCTCAGGTCAAGTAAACACAATATAAATTTGCTAGGGCTGCACATCTTCGAGTTTGCTTATCTGAGCAAAAAAAGCAGCAAAAGAGCTTTTGCAATAGTTTTATCTTTTTGTCTTTCTAGTTTCAGTCTGGTTGAGCACTTTTGAACTTGTTTGTGGCTTTCTGTCAAATACCATAACTAAAATGGAGCAGATGATTCTTTTTTAGATTAATAGGGCTTAAAAGGTGCTTATCTACAAGGCAGTAATATTGTTCTTTCCAATATTGACGTGGTCAGGGAAATTAATACCTCATCTTTTACATGACCAATTTGTATCAGAGGCTCAAGAAACTAAATTTTACCAAAACCACCTTGAGTACTTAAAAAATCTTTATCAATAGCCATAATCCACATTTTGTTACCTGACTGCAATTTAATTCCCAAATTGTCCCTCTCTGTTTTCAGCTTTTAATTTCACAAATTGGTTTTCATGGTAAATAGGGGCTTTATTTGGGGATATAAGAAAATAACATGCACATTTAAATTTCAGATACGTAAATTAGGTACGCATAGAGAGGGAGGAGATCTCACAAACATTTGCCAATAAATTCTTCAGCAAAAGTTTTAAAAGTCAGCTTGTCTGTATGGAGGCTAATGTGAGAACCTGCAAGCTCTACCAGATGGAAGAAGAAACAACAGCAGAAAACAGAACTGAGTTGTCTGATACTGATTTGGATAAGTCATAACTGTCATGTATCTAGAGTTTGGCTTCTGAAGTACCAAGTGTCGTTCCACCATGTTCTGTTTGAAGTGAAAGAGAACGGGAAGGAAGATACTTTTTTTATATATTGGGGAGAGTGGAAATTATGCAAATAAAACACAGGAGGTATAAGAAGAGAGGGATTAGGAAGGCTGTTTTCTAAATGATGGTATTAAATGCATAGCCTGAGGTAGGGAGTGGAGTGTAAGTGGTTGGATAGCAGTAAGCACTGCTTTCACAGGTGACAGATCTACCTGACTTTAAATCAGCAAAAGTGTTTGAAGTTCATTACTTGGGGAAGGCACCCTGGGATTTTTTTTCCCCTTAAAGAAAAGAATCAGGAAATCATATCAGGAGAGAAGGGAGACTTTTTGCATTGGTACGAAGCTGTCTGACCAATTGCCTCGAGAGAACTGAGAAAGGATGAATTCCAAGATAGTGCAGCAATCTTATTGGGAAATAACTTCTTTCATATTTAAGAAAACTTTTTCACTTCTGATGACAAAAAGCCGATTCAAATTGCTATGAAGACATTTCCTTTTTTTCTGAAGCATCTTCTAATGGTACGTATATCATGGGTTTATGTTCAGTTGCTTAGAATGTATGTTGCTTTAGCAAGGTTAATGAAGTTTAATGGGTTCTTAGCCAGAATAAAAATATTAAAAATGTATCACAGTATTAATGAATCACCAGAAAAAGTAGTGTATCTGGAATACTGGAATGGAAAGTACCATCTGTGTGTGCTGAAAAGAAGCAAGCCTGTTCTGTAGCAAGAGCAGAGAACCAAGAGAGTGGGATTTAGTATTGGTTTTCTACTGATGTGCTGTGTTAACTTCAAGTGATTTAGTTCCACTTGGCTTCAGTTTCCCCAGCTGTACCAAAAAAAACCCAACAACCTCCCTCACAAGGGTGTTGTGAGGACAAATCTCTTCTTTGTCAAGGGCTGGGGCTGATGGAAGGTGCTACAGAGAACTAAAAATGTTTTTATTAAAAGATCTTTATGTTAGCATTCATTACAGTATTTTAATACTACTTCTGGGAAAGGCTTATTTGTACAGAATGTAATATACGTTCTATTTAAGTATTATGTAATTAGACTTATTTTATTATGTATAGGTAAGGAACAAGTTCAGGCTGAGCACTCTAACTCGTATTTCCTCTCTTTAATTATCTGTGCAACCCAAATGGTATATTAATATGAGGCTTTTTGTTTTTACGTGGAATACACTAAAATCAATATTGCTATATTTTGTAAACCCCATGACTGAAATAAAATCCTGCTCACAGTTGACAGCCATCTCTTATAATGTGGCTGTTTTAAAGTGTGTTCAAATTCTGTGAACTAGAAATGTTCACTCCTGAAAGTATATATTTGTGTCAGGATACCAAGTGGTGTGTTGTAATAGGAATGTAGTGAATGTAATGAATTCTTTCCCTTTCCACATTTGTCCTACTCCTCCTCCTTTCCTGTATTTAAGTTGAAGTAGCATGCAGATACAATGGAAATAGGGGAGTGATCTCAAAAATTTTTAAAACTTCAAAACTTTTAAAATCTGGTATTGAGGCAGGCTGTGGAGAAAAAAGATGAAGGGAATAAAACAAAGGGAAATAGTTGCC